TAATATATATATATATATATATATATATATATATATATAATGATTCAAGTAGGTGTGAAAAAAGAGCAGTCGAGCAGGAACAAAAGGACATGAAATTGAAATTTTATGCTTTATTATTTTTAGTTTAATATCATTCACTTATATATCTCAATACATATAATGTTTGTCATCGTCATCATGGATTGTCTTCTTGTATTGAAATAGTTAGAAAATTTGATTTCGTATGTATATAGTTGTTAAAAAATGAGTACAAGAAGAACATGAAGTAAAAGAGACTAAGGATTTCTGATTGTCAATTTTTTATATAGTAGAATACTTATATACATAGACATTTGTATTATTATATAACCACAAGTTGAATTGTTAATCTGTGAATACAATTATATTTGATACATAAGCACTCGGTCAAATTTAAAAAGTTAACTAGGGAATTCAAGTATAGTTGGGTACATCAATACTATATTGTTAGCCTTTTCAAAATTTTATTTAGAAGAATTTTATACAGTTTGATACCCATAAATTGTAATTTTTTTTTGCTCGTTTGTCTAATGTATCCATATTTATACAGTTTGATATCCATAAATTGTTGTTTTTTTTCGTTTGTCTAATGTATCTATATTTTTGCTCAACAACAGTGTTGAAATGTATCCATATTTATATAAATAGATACTTGTATTGTTATATAAGCACAAGTTAAAATGTTGATTTGCGAATACAGTTATATCTAGATACATAAGTAGTATATCCAAGATGAAAGGTTGATTAGGAAATACAAGTATAGTTGTATCCAGCATATTTATTTTTGTGTTTAACATTTAACAACAATGTATTCATTGTATTCTATATTGTCGTATTCTTTTTTTATTTAACAACTAGTGTATCTGTTGCCATGCAGTTCACCTATTCTAAATCGAAATACTCACAAATTCAACAATTTGCTTACATACAATAACTTGAATTAACAAAAAAATTATTAATATTTTCCAACGTCAGAATAAGAAAAATGGAGACAACAAGAAAATTGAGTATGATGTATCACAATTTTTGTTAACTAATAAAGAATATGATATGTTATGTCTTTAAATAAGTAATTTTTAGTTATAAGTTAATTATGGGAAGTTACTAATTGCATGGACGTAATGTAAGGATAGTGGGTTATTTTAAAAGTTAATTCCTTATTTAGTGGTACTTAAAGACAGGGGCGGACCCACGTTGGGTCCAGGCTGTTCACTCGAACAGTGAACAGCCTTGACAAAAAAATACACAATATATATAAGGTAAATTTTCTGCATTTCTGTAGATGGTTATATTTTGAACCCCTTCAATAACAAATAAATATAGATTGATCAATGGTAAGACCCCTGATTATTAAGCTGCATGCTCCAGGTTTGAAATCCTGCAACAACATTTATTAATTTCTTTTATAGTTTCAGTTTATTTTTGTTTAAAAAAAACAGTTCTGTTTTTCAAGCATTTTTTATTTTAAAAACGTGTCAAAAATGTGGTTTTTAACCAAAAAAAAAATTCAAAGGGCCCATTTCGAAAGACTTATTTACACGTTTATATTTTTATTTTTTGAACCTCCTGAACGAAAATTCTAAATTCGCCAATGCTTAAAGATATTTAATGTATAAATAAAAAAAACTATACAAAAATACAACAAAAAATAACATAAATTATAGTCATTTATAATAAATAACAATTATTATAGCTATTGATATTTACTAACCCTATAAATATAATTATTTTTATAAGTTGCTTAACTTTTTCAAAAAGAAATGCACATGACAATATGCAAATTCCATATCGAAAATGGAGTAAAAATGAAGAATTAATATGACATAAGTTCACATGGTACATGTATAGTTTATTATGTATGTGCTTAGGCTATGACAATTAACTTTTATATTATTTCATATAATGATTTTAACAATTTATTATAGGCTATTTGCTTTTTAATTCATGCAGCAAAAATTGTTGGACCACACTACAATGTGAATAAATTTTATAATTAGCCAAAAATTCCGCTAACCAACACCCAAGTTGGAAACTTTAATCTATTATTTTACAATAATAGACGTGATTAGATGCTTAATTAAAACTAAGATTTATAAGTATGATGGAAAAACTTTAAGATAAACAAATCATTAAAAGAAAAGTTTGTATTTTAAAAAAGACAAACAAAATGAAAATGTGTATACAAGAATACTTTTTTCAATTTATATCCGCTCTTTCTTCTTTTGAACAAGTAAGAAATATTTTTATCGATCACTTTTACTTGTTAATATTTTAAAAATAAATTTTTACTTTTAATAGATAGAGAAAAATTAATTATTTTTTTATCTGTTCTGTCCTTAATATTAATTATTTCTAACGATCTTAAACTATTTGAAGGGAGTATAATTTTGAATAAAAAAGAGGGTAATTTTCACATATAGCAAACAAAAAATTCATATTTGTATAATATAACAAAGTTTTCATAATTGCGCTCCATAGCAAACATAAAACTGTATAATTCGCTATACATATACAATTGTATAATATGTTGGCCTAAATTGTATAATTCACTGGCCTATTTCGCTGCGATTGTATTTTTCACTATCCTATTTCACTGTGATTCTATAATGCACAATTGTATAATTCGCTGCCTATTTCGCTGCAATATTTTTATAAAATTTGCTTTGCATACATTTGAATCGAATTAAAAATGTATGTATATTGCATAATTATAAGTGTATAGCAAAAAGATATATGTTTTTCTCTCGCTTTATTGAAAAACAGAAACACAATATATACACTTCTGTTGTATAAAGTTAGAGAAAATTGTATTTCACTGCAATTGTATAATTCACAATTGTATAATTCGTTGGCCTTTTTCTCTGCAATATTTGAAGTAAAATATTTGTAAATTGTATAAGTACGTGTATAACACGAAGATATATATTTTAGCATGTGTATATACAATTTTCTCTCGCTTTATACAAAACAGAAACAGAATTTATACACTTTTGTGTATAAAGTGAGAGAGGCGAGCGAGAATGGAGAGTGGCGAGCGAGATTTTTGGGAGAGAGACGTCTGATAAATATTAGCTAACATTTTCTATGGAGCACAATTAAATCAAACCCTAGCTACTCCATTTATTTTAAGTTATTAGTTTGCTATTATATACAATTTTCCTTGAAAAGGAACATTTGGGCCAGAAGAAAATATATTTGGCCCAATAGATATCGAACTTATAGTCCCAAACTTTATCTATTGGGTTTGATAAGAGCAATGGACCATATCATTTTCCAACTCTCCGTCCATATATTTCTCCGGCTAACTCCTCGGCGATTTCTATCTCCGACCAACTACTCGGCGACATCACCTCCGGCCAAATCGAGTTGTAAGTCCGTCATCCTCTCTTTTGCTTTCTTCTCTGTAATTCCATCCTCTGTATTTGGAAACAAAAACCCTAAACCCCTTTCAATTGCATTGTATGGTTTTCTGAGTTTTTCTTTAGCTTTATGATTTATTTTGCATTCTCCTTTGTGTTCTATAGTGATATTAGCTCGTAAGTTGTGTGATTTTATTGATATGCCATTGTGAAGTTCCTGGAAAAGTTCAGTAGAATGAGGAAAAAGATATCAATGTGTCAAAGATGAAATTTTTAGGCAAAATGTATGGACAAATACTCAAACTTGGCGTGAATCTGGCAACTGAGGACTCCAATTTATATCGGAATGCGAACAATAATTTTTAAGAGTGGTAGAGGGAGTAACTTTTTGTGTAATCTGTGAACTTGAAATGCAATGTGTTACTCTGTTTGAATTAGTTTAAAAATGAGCTTCCATTACTGTGTTTTTATCGATTTTAATCTATAGGTCTCAAACATTTCAACTCGTCGAGATAGGCTGGCTTCATATAACACAATAGCTTACTCCTTTCTATAAATTAATCGAAGTGTTGATATTTATTCACCTTTCTTTCCAGGGAAGTGGTGAAGTTTAAGGAAAAGCATGGGTAGCTTATGTGTTCTACTTTGACTAGCTTTGTTCGAAGTCTTCTCTTAAATCCTTAAAGTTCATATTTTTCTTGTCTCTATAAGTCTTTTTCGTTGTTTCCCGTGAAAAGATTGAGAAGGACTCATGATCTCCATCCAACTGCGCTTCCGTTCATTATCTACTCACTTACATCATCTTACTGGTCCTTTTTCTTCTTTCCACATATCTCTCTCCACTCTATCTCAGGTAGTAACCAAAAAGTCTGCTCAAAATGCAAACCAAGAAAATCCTGTTCTCCTCAACTACCTAATAAACACGTTGGGTTTTCCAAAACCTAAAGCCCTTACCATATCCGGTCGTTTATCATGGGTCAAAAGTGTTGAAAAACCTAAATTGGCTGTACATTTCTTCAAGTCCGTTGGATTCACAGATGCACATATTCAATCCGCTGTTTGTACCATCCCCCAAATCCTTCTTGCTGATGTTGAGAAAATACTCAAGCCAAAGATCCAGCTATTACAAGAATTGGGTATCACTGGTTCTGATCTGGGTAGGCTTTTGTCCACAAAGACAGTATTATTAACACGTAGCCTGGACAAAATACTAAAGCCTTCCGTTGAAGTTCTCAATAATGTCCTTATAAAAGGTACTGATAATGGTGATTGGTTTCGGGTTTTGCTAAGGTGTGATTGGGTTATTTATGGATCTCCTCACTTGAGATTGCTTCCTAATATTTCATATCTGCAAAGCGTTGGAATTGTTGGGTCTCAACTATCATCACTCTTGAAGAGGCAACCTCATCTTTTTGTTACCCATGGATCTAAGCTTAAAAAACTTGTCTCTGAACTTATGGATATCGGGTTTTCTACTGATTCAAGAATGTTGGTGCATGGCCTTCATACATTAAGTTGTATGAGTCAAGAATCTATATCGAGGAAATTACTGTTGATTCAGAGTTTTGGTTTCTCCAAAAGTGAGTGCATGGTAATGTTTAAGAGGGCACCATGCTTATTCCGTGGTTCAGAGAAGAAAATAAGACTCGGACTAGAGTTCTTTTTGGAAACAGTGAAGTTAGAGAAGTCAATTTTAGTACAGCGTCCTACTCTGTTGATGTTTAGTATGAAGGAAAGAGTGATTCCGAGATATCAAGTTTTTCAGCTGGTAAAGTCAAAAAAGCTTATGAAGAAAGACCCAAAATTTTATGATATGATGTGTTTGACAGAGCATAACTTCTTGGAGAAGTACGTATCGAGATTTACAGAAAATGCAGAGGAATTATTGATGGCTTACAAAGGCCATCGTCTAGATTTAGGAGAAGAGTAAGAGTGTTTACTGGAAAATTTTGCTTGAAATATTTTCTTTCCCTGGTTTTGATCAGGCTTAGAAAATGCGCGGTGAAATAGGGGCATTCATATTTGTATTTGTATTGTTGCTTTGATGAAAATGATGCTTGTGTTATGGCATAAGAGGCTGAAATAGAAAATAAAGCTATAGAATTAGCACATTGATCTTAATCTCTCCCTTCTGATGAGTAGTTTCATTTCCTTTTACATATGTGACAACTTTGAAGTCCTCATACGATAAAGTCATTTGGTTGTTGATTAGAATTATACAGGTATGATTAAATATCAAGAATAGTCATGTACGGTTTAGTTATCTTGGATTTTGGACTGGTAACTGAATATTGGTGCTGAATTTTATACTACATATCAACTAAAATGAAACCATTGTATACATGGATATTAGTTATATTATGTTTTCACTTCCTAACCAGCAACCAAACGACTTTGATAAAGTGAAATACTAAATTGGAGTAAAATTTCATGTCATATCCACTGAAATAATATAAACCCAAGGATATGAAGGATTAGTTTTTTGGCCTCTATTTACACGTAAACATCATATGCTTGTTTGTATAGCCACCGAAAGGATAAATGTCATAATATCAAATTACAATAGGATAAATGTCATAATATCAAATTACAATCTATCAGTGTTAATTACATCAATCCTTTTAAAAAGTAATATAAATCGGATATTACTAATATGTAGCTCGGATACATTATAATATAAATCGGATATATTAAAAATTAGCTCGAATACATTAAAAACTAGTTCGGATACATTATAAAATATATTGAATACATATGTAGTTCAGATACAATAAATACCGGTAATACATTAATATGTAGCTCAAATACATTAAAAAAATAAGGAATTTCAGAGATTTTTAAAATAGAAGTGGATATTGGAAATAAGGAAGACATAATATACTACTTTTTTCATAAATTAATCATTTCATTGCAATCGATGCGAGAACATGAGAATTGGTTAATCACCAAGCTTGAGGTGTGCATAAATGATAATTAACCACAATTACGTAGTGAATTACTATCTATAAACACATCCTATTTTTTATGCATTTATTGACTTGATATAAATACCGAGCAATCATGAAAATTCTTACCCTGTATGAGTAATTTATTGCTGTTACTATAATTTTAAACGCACAAAAAGCATCAGGTGGTCCCGTAGCTCAGTTGGTTAGAGCGTTGGTCTTATGAGCCGAAGGTCGCGGGTTCGAGCCCCGCCGGGACCAGAGATTTAAATAGTGTCATTATTTTCGAGTTTTTACTAGTAAAAAATAAGTTATTTTTAAAAATACCTACATCCTTTTTAATTTTTTATTTCTTAAAGATCAATCATTCAAATCAAATTATTACATGTGTAGTAGTTGTCAATGCAAATTAATTATTAAGTAATAATATAAAGAAATTTGTCTTTTATTCACATCTGAAAATAAAACACACACACCTCGATTCAAGAATATTGAATTACATGGACAACCTATAATTAGGAATAGCCATTACATGTTTGGCTCTACTAACAACAAGACCAAATTCCTCACCCATGTCCAAATCATTTGGTAACATACCATTTGGAAGTTCCCAATCAAAGCAATGAACCAATTGTGCCACGATCAAACGTATTATGATAAGTCCTAGTTGTAAACCAGGACAACGTCTTCGCCCGGATCCAAATGGAAGAAGCTCAAAATCATGTCCACGAAGATCTATACTACTCCCCACAAATCTTTCTGGAATAAATTCATCTGGATTATTAGGCCACACCTTTGGATCGCGCCCTATAGCATAGGTGTTCACTAGTATTCTTGATTTTTTTGGAATAAAATAACCATCAATAGTGCAATCTTCAATAGATTGATGAGGGAGTAGTAATGGTGCCACAGGATGAAGCCTTAATGATTCTTTTATGACCATATTTAAGTATTCCAATTTTTCTAAATCCAACTCCTCCACCATTCTTTTCATTCCAATTTTTTCTTCAAATTCTTTTTGAAGTTTTTTCATTATGTTTGGTTGCCTTAACAGTTCTGAGAGTATCCAATCAATTGTTGTTGCTGAAGTATCCATTGAAGCTATTAGCATATCCTATTAACAATAATAGTTTAAATATACCCTTTGTTATGTCAAAATATAATGAGAAGGCATATTTGAAAAAAAAAGATAACACAAAAGATAGATTTGAACCGAAAATACAATGGGAAATGTATTTACACTATTTCTAATAGTACAAGGGTATATTGACACTTTATTATTTAAAAGGAAAAAGATTCAAATATGTCATCGAACTTTTTGAAAAGACTCATTTATGTTATCCATTAAAAGTTTGGCTATTTATGTCATCGATATTAAAGAAAAGGCTCATCCATGCCTTTTTTTAACTCCAGTTTTGCAAAATCATTTTTTACACACCAAACAAGATTTAACATTTTTCTACTGGTATTTTTGGATCAAATTTATACTTTTTGCTTGTTTTTCTTTGAACACATGAAGAACATAAACAACTCTCAAATTTTCAACATCTTCAATTCTTCACAAAATCATCTCAAATTTCGACTACATCATTAATTTATTTGTTTAAAAGAAAAACAAACTAAAAGTCTAACATCATTTGCAGAGTTCAAAAAATTCATTCATATTTTAAAAATATATTCCAAAAACGAAAATCAATCCAAAATTTCAAAATTTCAAAATTTTCTTTGATTCTTGTTTTTGTTGTTTTTTTTATAGTAGATCTTAGTTGACTAGTGTTTTTTGAGTTTATGTTCATAACTTCAAATGATTTGAAGTTGTGGAGAACCTACCATTAAAGAATGTTGAAGTTTTGAAACTTTGAAGAAATTTCAATTGGATCTTGTTGAGTAAGGTTGAATTGGAGCTAAAAAGAAATTGAGTTTTGGTATCGAGCTTGGAGCGAAACTATTCTTAAAATTTGAGGCGATTCGTGAAGAATTGAATAAGTTTGAAATTTGGAAATTGTTAATGTTTTTATGTTTTCTTGGTGTTCTTAGGGATGTAGAAACAAAAAAAAGTACATTTGATCCAAAAACACCAATAAAAAAGTGTTAAACCTTACTTGGTGCGTAAAAAATAGTTTTATAAAAATCGAAGTTAAAGAAAATGTCATGAATGAGTTTTTTCTTTAACAGTAATGACATAAATAAATCAAATTTTTAATGAATAATATAAATAAATTTTTTCTAAAAGTTTGATGATATATTTAAGTTTTTTTCCTTATTAGTAGCACGAAAAAAAGAAAAAAGGGGTGGGATAGTTGAAATTATTGAGTGGACCAAAAAATTAAGAGGGGTTATGTCATAAGTCAAAAATATCTTTCACAAAGAAGTTTTATTGGTTATCAAAGTTGTGAAGAGGATAATATATATATAGAGATAAAAATATTATTTTTGATAATTTTTTTGGCTAATAAAAAATGATAGTTCACACGGTATTAATAAATAACGAACAAATGAAAGAGAAAATAACCAAACTTAAAAGGATAAGAAACTACAACTAATAATAGTATGGCTAATAGAACAAAGAAACAAAGCGAGACAATATTTAATAGTCTAACTAATCTTTTATCTTAATTTGTGACTTTATTAACGTATAATGCAACTTGTCAAATATATTGATCGTAGTATTTCTACGATCGAGATATTCCCCCTCCCTCTCTATCAATCAAAACAAAAAAAGAAAAATATTTTAGCCCTTTTGACACCTCTATTAGGTGTAAATTCATGCAACTTACCAATTCAACTAAAAATCATAACACATTTAAAGCCCTATAACAAATGTTCGAAAGGTAGAATCTTAACAAATAATGAAGACGGCATGATGCATGACATGTTTTTTTTTCGTAGTTAGTTCAACTGTCTCTCGGAGACAGGATCGAGAAGTAGCATGCAAGCTAAAGGGCTATCCCGATAAGAAGATGAAGCCTGATTAGGCCAAAAATGAAAGCAATAGAAGGAAGGGGTAGAGCATGACGATGTACATAACTTAAAATGCGTAGACTATAGACAAAAACTTACCAATAAAATAGCTTTAACATGACCACGATCGAATTGAAACTCAGTTTCTCCAGATTTCATGATGTTCAACATAGTATCAACAAAATCCTTGTTGTTTTGATGTTGTCCTTTTTTATCACTCTCTTCATGTTCATCAATAATTTTCTCTAAAAAATTATCAAACACCTTGCTAACTGCCTTCATTCTTCTTGTTAATCCTTGAAGATCCAATTTACCAAGAAAGGGGAAAAAATCTCCAAGATTAGGAGCTGCTGCTAATTGTAACCCTTCATTAACAACACTCTTAAATCCCTTGCAACCAAATTCCTCATCTTTATATTTTTTCCCAAAAATCATCCTACAACTTATATCGACCGATAAACGTGTCACAATCTCACTCAAATCAACCACAATTTTTTCATGAGATTTTTTCTTGAGAGTTTCAATCAATAGATTCAACTCTTCCCTTCTCATGGATTGAAATGAATTGATTTTTAGAGTGCTAAGTAGCTCTAATGTGCATAATTTTCGCATATTTCGCCAATAAGGACCATATGTACCAAAAGTCAAGTTCTTTTGGTCATATGAAATGTATTTTGCAGCTTCATGAGGTGGTCTACTTGCAAAATTTTGATCATATGTCTTGAGAAATTGCTCAGCTACATGAGGAGAAGAAGCAATTATGTTGTCAACAAACCCTAACTTTAAGTACATGATTGGACCATATTTTTTGGCTAAATTGTTCAAGTCTTGATGAGGGTTTTTGCCTAACAAATGATGAAAATGTCCCAAAATTGGGATCTCTTTGGGACTTGGTGGAAGTTTTTTTCTTTTGTTGTTTCTCCATAGCTCATGAAGGAGATAGAGAAGAGCTAAACCTATTGAAAATGTGGTCCAAAATAAAGCCATGGTATAAGAGTTAGGCTCCTCAAGGGGATAAGAGGAATTGAATTATATATATAATTTGTTGAAAGGTCATAAGAGCTTAGGGTGGCCTGGTTGAGAGACAAGTCCATGTAGGAATAATAATATAAAAATGATAAAAATTGCTAATATTTTCTTTTCAAAAAGCAAGGTTAGGATCCTTTTATTGTGTTTTGACTATTATTGCACTATTTTTAATTTGTTGTTGTTGTT